CAAGAATAATTGCACATGCGCGTGAATTGAATGAACTATGCCCCGTACAATCTCGATATGCATATTGTCAATCAAAGGTCCTGTTATTTGCTTACTCATGCAAATTAGGCAATTGGACATAAACATTGCCACGTGTGAGTGTTTTTTATTTTTAACCAGAAAATAAACAGCAATTTTAATGGTGTTCCAATAACAATTCATTGGTCAAATTTTCACAGAATGTTCTTTAGATAAAAATCTATATAAAAAACGAAAAAAACTATTTTTGATTGAAATTCACAAATAAACTGTATCTCTACCTTAAACATAATGTTTATATATTAGGTGAATCATGACACGTTTTTAAAAATGTTATTCCAGAATATTTTTAAAGTTGTTTCACCTAACATATACATGTACGCCTCATAATGAAATACATGTGCTAATATATTAAAATTAATACACAATCAACACCTCGTAGAGAACATGATAAGTTGACATGTATTACAGTATCACAACTAGAAGTTGGACCAAGATTATGATCTTTGTAACAATATTACACAAAATACCTCTGCTTCACTGTTTGCACCATAGCTTTGGTCACTCTCAGCGTCAGAAGATAAACTGCCTTCACTATCAGACATCTTGGCTTATTACTTGATGAAAAAAAAAGAAACAAAAATAACATTTCGTAAGTATTAATGTCTTCAAATTGTCATTCACTTCTGACGTATACCAGCCATTATTGGTACATGGCTACTCATGGAGTCAATATGGTACCATGTGGTCATAGGCAATCTAAGAACTGTGTACTGATAGACCATCTAATGTATTAGGAGTGTTAAGCTAAGTCAACTATCTGTGGTCACAGGCCATCTGTGAAGCATGTAGTTCTTCTAACCTTTTCACTGCCAGACTTTCTCGCCCAAATTTTTCTTATAATATTCCTCAATGTTTCTGAAAATAAACCTTATTTTGCAGCCAACAGATAAAATTTTAGTCAATTTTCAGTTTTTACTCAACAAATTTAACTATTTTTGTCCCAATCTTTTGAAGGCAAATGCAGACTATAAACAGGACTATTTTGTGAATTTGTGATGAAAAAAGGAAACTGGTGGTGAAAGGGCTAATGTACTAGGAGTGTCTAACACAGTCAATTATGTATGGTCACAAGCTATCTGGGGATTATGTAGTCATGCCTGCAATACATGTATAAATTATTCCCGAATCATATTACGCGTAACAAGTTAGAGAGTTATTAGGATATCATTTTTAAGTTTTTTTTGAACATTTCAAATTAACATTTGATACATAGTTTTGAAAGTTAACTAATGGGTGTAAAAATTAATAGAGATTATGAAATAATGAAGTTTTTTACAGTTTATGTCGAATATTTCACAGTCTCTATGTTCTTGACTTGTACCAAAGAGAGAATATCAATTCACAACTAATCACAGCAAAGTAATGCAGTTAGGGTTGGAACTGTCTTTATCACCTGCATACATTGTTATCATTGGACTTATTTCATACACTGTACCGCTTTCTATGGTATTTAAATACAAATAAAAAATGCAAATTAAAATTATACAATGATTACACAATATTTCCAAAATCAAGATGTTCATAGTGAGAATGTTTCACTAATTTTCACCATCTTGCTCAGTTTGGGGCTTCATGCACCAACTGGTTAGATTGGGAAGACACATAATAAGGTAATTACAAAGACATATACCACAAAGTATGAAATTAATACAGCACAGGGTCGCTTTGACCTTCACCATGTCGGACTTTATGCACACTCTGCAGTATCCCCTCATAATAACCTCATATTACACTATTTCTATTTTTGATATTTAGTTAACTAACAAGCTTCATGAAAACTCTGTTGTATTGAAGAGTAGTTTTCATTGTTACTGACAAACTGAATAGGGAAAGTCAACCAACACTTCAGACACACTAGCGAAACAATATGGACCAACAACCTACACCCCCCCCCTGTCCCACAAATTTAGGACATGGCGGCATCAAGTTACGACCCATAGCAGTGAGATTTCTACGGTCCGAATCTTCATTCCGTTGTGTTCGTGTGCTAGTGACAAGTTACAGGAACAAGAGAGCCGAATGATCAACACTTCCATCAAGACATTCTGACGACATATTGTTTCATTCGAGCCCAAGGATTATCACATAATTTATGTTGACCGTTACATAACTATGGACACAATTTTTTATTAAAAAGCAACATATTGTGTTTTATTATGCAGAAACAACACAGTAATCCCACTGTATCAAACCTGCGTAACGCCTGTCAACAACAGCCCACGTGTGATTCGCCCTCTATAGGCCCCTGAATGGCATTGAAAATTGTGGATTTTTCATGTTCCTAAATATATAACGTGAATTTTACTAAGATAATTCGCGTCTACAGTACGACGATCACCACAGACAAAGGATGGGCATGGGAAACAGTCCTTACCTGTGTTCAACAGCAGCATAACCAACACAATGGCGTCAAGAAATGCTAATTTACAAAACTGCTGACCTAATATCCTGGTGCCCCTCTGGTTAACATGTCATACGGTGTCCCAATAGTACAGTGTAGCTGAATGGCATCTATTTGCGTATTTTTTCATTATTCTATACATTTTATGCAATTTATTTTTTATATACAGTTTATTTTAAACTGTTTGAGCATTGTTTTTATTAGAAATCATATTCAAACATTCTAATTATTGTTTTTATCCTTCAATATTTTCTATCTGATTTGTAACTATGAGCCACCGTTGCCGTGACGTCACGAGTACGCAAGCGCAGTGATTTTTTTCGTTTTCACAACTTGCATTGTAGTCGCCATATTTGATACCAAGGGGGAAGTATGTGCAAATACTGCGTGGGAAATTGCAGATTTCTTCGCGTGAAAAGGAGCAACAAAGCAGCATAAATACTACGAGTATACACCTAACGATCTCTAGAACACACCAGTACCGTTTGTATATGCGGTCAGAACTTTTAACTAGGCGAAATGGCTCTTGAAAGCCTGTTTGAAAATCCCCCACCCCTAGTGAACGGTGATGTAAACAAAGAAACAGAACAGGGCGAGAAAGAAAGGTCAAGTAACGCTTTGTGGATTCAATTCACGATATTTTTCTGTTTTTCGATGGATTTTTGTCTTCAGATAGGTAAACGGGCGGGGATTTTCCCCGAAAAGGGTCATTTGCTGGTAAGGCTGCATAAATTATGTTAATCAGGTAGAACATAATTTATGCTAATGAGCGAAACAGCTGGTTGGGCTTCTGCTTCAAAATATCAGCGTTGGCAAAGGTGCCAACATTGTCATAGGTACAAATCTGGCTTATACATTTCTTTCTGCATGCATTCACTTTTAAGTATGTTGTCATAACAACTGCTTGTAGTTTCCGATTAACATATTTTTCCACTAACTTCTCAGTTTATTCTTACCAGTCTATACTTAGGATTTACAGGATACTGTATTAGTACTTATGCTGTATTATCTATCAGTTGCATTTTTTTTGTTGAAATGCCCATTATTAAAAGGACTTCATCACCATTCATTTTTCCGGTTGATTGAAACTCGGAATATCAAACCAACTAGCCATAAAAAATAGCAATTTGGCGACATACAAATTTCAAAAAAATAATTAAAAAAAATGTATTGGTATTCATATATACATACAAGGTGTAAAAATGAAAAATATTTTTTTGTTCATTATTGTTGGCAGAAAATGGCTGAAACAGAAATGCATTGTCTTAAGCCACTGTTCTTAGAAAAGTTACTGTTCTGATTGTATAACAGGTGTTCCATGTTGTAATCCTTCAGTGATCCTACCATTGGCAGTACAGGTGCTCATCTAATTTGCATATTGTGTTGTGGCAGGTGTACCAATCGGTTTGTCACTTTCCATGTGTCCTTGCCAGTTGTGTTCTGTCATGTGTGTTTGTTTGTTAGTTACTAATTTCTTTGAAGTGCTGTTTCCTAAATGGTGTTTTATTACCCAGTCTCTGCTGACAGCTGATTGATTCACTTAGATTAGAAATGAATTTTCTGATTGCTTAAACTTTTTCTTAAGGCAAAGTAAGTTCTTGTATGTAACTACAAACCTTTTGAAAGTAATGCTTTTTTCAAAAATTATGAAAATCAGTCTGGTTGTAGTTATGGTGCCCACTGATGATTTAACCAGACTATCTTGAGTCGTACTAAATTATTTGAATTTTGAAATTTATGAATAATGTTCTTTGAACATATTTCTGGAAATAATAAAAAAGTAGTGCTTGCCTGTGATTTGATAATTTTTTTTCTCGGGATCCTGTTTTCGCCAGGACTTCCAAGCATACAATATCAACTTTTTATGTTGAAAGTTTTTCCTCCAAAATTTTGATACATTTGTGCTCAGTTTTTATGAATTTTTCTATAATTTCTGTATTAATTTTGGATCATATGGATGTAACTTCCTATTAGTTACAGAACTTGAAGTGTTTTTACAAATTTGGAAATATATTAGTTTATTCTAGGAAGGGTAATACAATACAAGGGTTGTTAAAAAAAATTTAAAATGAATCTTAGTAGAATTTGACAGTTGGTGGTTGCCTGGATGGAAGATGATTGTTGTACTATTACACATGGGTACCTTAGTAAGAGAACTATTTCACTGGTTTGTGAAGGAAACAATAAATTCTATGGTCAATTTTGCATATTCACTGGGTTTTACTATAGTGCATTTAGTTATTGGTGAAATAAGAAAATAAAACCAGATAATAAATGCCAGTAATTAAGCTTAATGCAGTACATGCGTATTGTTGCACATTTTGTATCTAAAAAGAAATTGAGAATTTGAACTGAAACGCTGAAGTAACCTCTATTTATTCATCCCTGATCCATTTTTAATGACACAGTGCCTATAAACTGTCATTGACAGGAAGTAAAAATGAGAGGTTAAAGGTTATAGAACACTGACCTTTGTACAGGAAGTGTTACTCGAAAAGCCACACCCTGTCTTACCAGGGTTTCAGATCACATGTTATTTATTAACAGCTGTTATTTATAGGATTTTGTTTTGGCATAATGTTATATACTCCTGAACTCGGCCCAATATATGCTGTTTGCATGCATTTCCAGATAATTGCAGCAAAGTTGGGAATACAAAAATGTAGAGGAAATTGACTTTATTTATGATTCTCAATACAATCATGATCCCTAAGCATTTACTCAAATTACCGCTCTCTCTCTATATATATATATCATATTTTTATTTATGGCTACTCTTATCTCTATAATACAGTATTAAACAATACAGATGACCTAAAACTGTGTATAAGTCACTAGTTATTCTATAACCTATACTTAAACTATTAATATAGCATTATCTCTGCCTACAAAATAAAAAAAATAAAAAAACTTCCATGGAAAGTATTTACTTTTTCTTCTTTAAATATCACTACATTGTAAACAATTTACAAAAACCTATTTTTTAATAAAACATTGGGCAAATTTATTATAACTTGAGCACTCCCCTTCCTAACTATACCTTTGCTAGATGACTAATAAATATTTGTATATGCCTTTCTAATTAGAATGATTTCTATTTACATAATAATTGAAGCATGGCTCTACTTTTAAATGGTCCCTACTAACTAGGTGGAATACCTTGTCATAAAAGGGAATTGGTTCAGGGCAATGTGTTTTTGAGTCTCCCTACTGCTAAGAATTATGGTAGATAATCGGATTGGTGGTCAGGTAACCAGGATGTAAGATAATTAGTAAATGTATTCGCATTAAATTTGGGAGTCTAAAATAGTCTAAAATTCACAAAGAACATTACCTTGATGCCCCACCTGAATATCTTGGTGGCCTTACTAAATAGTCAAATATCAATAAATAAATAATAATGTCAATCAGTATGGTGCATTATCAAAGTTTTTGTCTTGAAATTGAGTAACTTAAGAATACTGCAGTACAAAAATACATTTGTACCTGTTCAAGGTATTGTTAGAAACAGGTAACCTGCTTAATTGCCCGGCTACTTCAACCTTTTTTATTGACTACTTTGAAAACTTGAAATTAATAATTCAATTGACACCTATCCACTGCTTAGAATCTCAATGACAATCCTAGACCTTAGAATTGTAATTCCAACTAGCTTTGTATACAATTGCATTTGAACACTATATAATTCAAACCACGAATATCAAGTTGTTAATCCAGTGAAAATGTATTCATTGCAATTTTATTTGAATAAATACTCCACGTCCACATTCAAAAAAAATCATTGGTGTGTTGAAATTGGTTAAACTATCTTGTCATAGCTTGTTAAAATTCCTAATTGTAGTAATTTGCTTCATCTACATCTGGTCAAATACTATTGATTTGGGTTTGTGTAGCTTGTATTGTTTGAAGCTAAAGTAGAAAATAGAAATGTACCAAGCTAACAACCGAGTGAAGACATTGGCTCATTAAGTTGGTAAAATTGGTAATTGGTTTCTTGTCATAACTTGTTTATCCAGTGATTATTTCTGGGATTGTAACTTGTAGTGTGTATGTCTACTGAAAACTCTGTGGATTTCTGTAGCACATGTTTACATGTAAGAGAAGCTAATGTAAAAATGGAAATGTACTGGTAGCATTTCTCTACACAATAGTAATAGAATTGTCACTAACTAGTACACTATGTTTAAGCCTGTGCTGTTAACCCTTTAAATGACATAACATTTAGTGCAAGGTTTTGTACATTTTTTTTACAAGAATTTGTGTTAAATTTAAATTTTGCATTCACCCACATACCGTGATCAGCTTTTTTGAATAAATATAAAGAACATTCTGCTGGTTTAAAGGGTTAATGGGCTTTAAATAACATTAGTGATTTGTTTGAACATGTTTTGACAAAGGTGTGTTCACAGTATGCAAAGTTAAGTTAAAGATGGGCAGTACCGATTAAACATTTTTCAAAAATTAAGAACTACCCACCCTCTCACAGCATGACTAGCTACTCGTATGTGAAGTACGTCATTAGGGTCCACATAACACTGGCAGGTGCATCAATCATAATTAGTAACGCTGCCATTCACCAATAATTCTGTTAATCATCAATGTACAAAGCTTCATCAAATGTTGCTAATAACATACACAACTGGTAGAGATATTTCTTATAGTGTTTTAATCCAGGTTTACATTCGTACATCATATTTTATTCAGTCTACACTTGGTTCATTAGAATAAAACTTCAAATAGATAGTGTATATTTCAAATGATGACACTTATAGCACTATGAAATGTAACTATGCATGTAAACATTTCATTCTGACAAATGAGTAAACAAAAACCAGTGACAAACATTTATAACTGCCATTAAAGTAAATTCACAAAGACTTTGGTATGCTGATCCTACACAAGGTTATTATTACATAGAATGCAATGTGAAAACTAAGGTTCAAGTAGTCGCCATTTCCTTGAAATCGGTCACTTGATGGAGACCGTAAAAAAATTATGACACACAATACACACTATTATTATAATCGGAGGCTGTTAGAGCGGCTTAGCCTCTCAAGATATCAACATATTTGGCATTTTGCCCAGGGCACCCAGTAAGTTGTCTTGTACCCTAATCTTTGAAGATCACTTAACAAAATTGGATTTTAATAGATGACCGCTATGGAGATCTGGACACAACCCCATGGCCATCTTTTTTGACTAGCAAGTGATTTAATGTGCAACGTGAGTTTATAGCATATAGGCTATTTTCTCAATGTTCAAATAGTAGTGATACAGGAGATGTTTTGTTGAAAATAAAAATTTGAGAAAAAGGTCTCCTAATCACAATTACTCTAATAGACAACAAACATGATTGAATTGTTAGTATATGATGAGGAAAATGATTTAGTAGGCTTTTTTTGAAATGAAATGATAAATATGACACTGATTTAAAAACTAATAAAAAAACTGGAATGCAAGCTATTTTGTAAAAACTTGAAAAACAATTATATTTGTTATTGGAAACAGATGCTACCAAACAGAAGCGACTGGATTGTTAATCCATCTAAATCTGAATCTATCAAAATCTCATTCGCAGCTTATCTTATTGCATTTTCCGCCATGTGTGCTTGTTGACACGGAATTGTCTCAGAGCTCTGGTATTTGCAGTTATTGTCTGCTGTATGTAGTTAGATAGTTGACATAAAATTTGAAATTATTAATTTTTGCTAATATGTAACTTTTGATGTGTTTGGAACATGCATTTTGTTTTGCAGTCGTGTCTCTGCCATTCAAACTTTACACGTACAGAAAACATCAAGAGATAAGCAAAGGCATTATTTCATTTTCTGATGGCAGACTATTGACAAATCAGCTGCATGTATATGTGGATGTATGGTTTATATTCAAACTACAGATTGAGATCTTGATTCACTATATTTTGTCATACAAATATGATTCAATATAGTTCAATATAACTAGTTGCTTTATTGATGTTTCCGAGCCATGTTTCAGCATGCCTAGACAATTTAAGTTTACACATCAATGTGCACACGTATCATGGTTTGAAATATTTTATTTTTATATTATTGCAAAAGATCACAGACGTACATGGTGAAATTTGTTCAAATTTGGTATATGCAAAATATATACGTACATAATAAATAAATTTTAATATCCGTGGAAAATGCTTTTTTTTTTTACTTGTAAACACAAAATGTGGTTACTGACAATTTTATTATTCAAAATGATTTGGTACCAGGCACTAACGGTCTTCTTTCCAATGTTTATCCAAGTATGTGCTCATCTATTGACAGTAGACTAATTTAGGGCTGTGGTCATGTTTTTGTTTTTAACCTTTTCACCTCCGGGACTATTTTGTAAATTTGTGATGAAAAGAGAGAACTGGCGGTTAGAAGGTTATTGTGAACATGCGTGATAATCTTTGTTTTACTGATTTACAGGCATGAGGCTGTAGCTGGAGAACTAACAAGTACAGAAGTTGAAGACGGAGAAGAAAATGATGGGGATGATGAAGAGGATAAAGAAGAAGGTGAACTTGAGGATGGTGAACTTGAAGATTCTGGCGGGGAAGAAGAGGAGGTGAATGGAGATGAAACTGGGCAGGAACAGGAAGAAGAGAAAGTATGCGAGGGAGAACCAATGGCGGAGGAGAAAGCAAAAGTATTCGATGAAAAAGAAGACATAGAGGAAAATGAAGTCATCAAAGGAAACGATGATGATACGGATGACGAGGAAGACTTGGAAGATAAGGAAAGAAGAGCAAGACTAAAAGAGAAAGAAGAAAGGCATAGGAGAAAAAAGAAAAAGCGAAGACGAGAAAAGGAAAAAGAAAGAGATGCTAGAAGGAAGCGAAAGAAGAGGAGGCGGCATCGGAGTGAGGTACTGTGGCATTAAAAACCAGCATCTATTTGAGTTGTAAACATGCATTTCCACCTTTCTGGAACCAAATTCATCAGTAGTACAAATTTGATTATTGACGTGTAATTGCATAGATTTGGTGGGAAAAATACTTCAATTTAAGCTCCAGATAGCGCTGTTACTGTATTGTGTTCAGCAATCATAATATTATATGAAAACCATCTAATAGTTAAACATTAAATGCATGTTCCCTGGAATGGTTGATTTCATTTTAAGTAGGGAAATAACTGTAATAAAACAATAGAGAACCATATATCCTGGAAAGTGTGATATGCAAATGTACCCAGTTGGCTCTGATCTGAACTGTGACATTGTTGAAATTTGTTAACTCTCATCTAATTAATTATTATGTATCATTTGTCAACAGTCTCCACCATCAAGAAGTCCTTCATATTCAGACTATAGTGATTCATTTGATGAAAACGACCCTTATGACAGACCCTTTGATAGATCTTACTCGCATGGTGGCTACAATATGTATCATCAATCTAATTACGCTGTTCCACCTGGAGCACAATATAACAATGATTGGGAGAACAACTCTAATAATGGAGAAATGGAGCATGATGGTGAACACCATAGTCCAAGACATGTAGGTCATATCGTTACTTATTACACATTTATGTACAAATGACATATGCTGCAGTAATATACACTTTTAATGCCATTGTTTTTCTCATCATAATGTATTTTTCTATAACTTTTTTGTTAATTTGAAACCAAATTGGCGAAAGGTCTTGACAGAAAAAATTCCCAGCTCTTGTTGCGTCTTGTTACATTTAAATAACTTTGTGTAAATACGGCTAGAGCAAAAAAACAAACAAACTGATATTAAATTAGTATATGAAATAAATAGCGAAAATCATCATGGTGGCTCAAATAATGTTCAGTAAACAACCAAACCTTTTGTTTTCAGTTCATCAGAGGAAGGGGTAGGGGGTTCCATGGGCGTGGTAGAGGTAGAGGTCGTGGTGGAATTGGACAACTACCAAGAAGTAAAGTTCCATGCAAGTTTTACATGGATGGAAAGTGTTCCAAGGTAAGATACACCCATCATGATTTCTTGTTTAACTTTTTCCTATATATAAATTTGTTAGTGTTTGCATTTAACATATTCTTTGTTTTTTTTAACAGGGTGAACACTGTCCATTCTCCCATGCTGGAGCACAAAACAAGAAAAATGAATTATGTAAATTTTATTTAAACAGTAACTGTGTGAAGGGCGATCAGTGTTTGTTTCTGCATGATATCCTTTTCAATATGTTAAATGAATGTAAGATTTGTTAACACCATAGACATACGTACTAAATCCACATGAGGTATACATGTATGACACTTTGCCCATCTACATGCTGGCACAATAGTCTTAGAGCATTAACACTTGAATTATGCCCAATTTGTGACTTACTGTCTTCATGGAAGGAAGACTGGGATTAACCTTAAACCAATTTGTTTAAGATCACCACGAGTATCTGATTAGTTTTGGGTTGAAATTCATGTGTATTAAACATCTAATTTGCATAATTAATAGCAAATTTTATTCTTCGTCACTGATATCACTTGAATGATTTAAGTGAAAGTTGATGCATAGGTGTTCTATGATAAACTACAGATATACATTCAAATGTTGTTTTAATATTATCTTTGTAGTGTTTTCTGTTAGTATTTATAAACGGGTCAGATTGCTTTTACATCATAATAAGCAGAGCTATCTTAGTCAACTGACTTATATTTTTAGTTAATTTTAAAGGATGGTGGTTGTTGTGCAGCACATGTTTGAATTTCATGTATTTTAAAATATATTTACTTGTGTACATTGCTATGATTACCATGTCATGTCCTGTCGTGTCGACCACCATCTTTTAAGTTCTTTGCCTCCAATACCCTTAGCACACATTTATTCTAAGCTTGCATTTGTTTTGTATTGTGATCTCATTTTACACGCCTGAATGGTGACTATCATTCAAATACTTTTACAATGACTTGTTAGGGTTGTGAATGGTAAATCTCTTCTCAGTTAATACTTTAACTTTTCTCACCTAATTATCCATGCAAGTTTTTCCATACGGGGGCAGAATGTTATCAAGGTGAAAACTGTAAATTTTCACACGATCCGTTAACAGATGAGACAAGGCCATTACTGGAAAAGGTAAGGTAGTTCTTAAAGTTTAAGAAATCATAAATTTTAGTCTATAGTTGGTCATCTTGCAAATCAAAGTTCAAAATCTTGTTTAGTAGGACTTTTTTCAAGAGGACGGGTCAGTAATGGACAAGAAGACGAATTAAAGTGTTTTAAACTCCTAACTCCGGAGTCTTTTGTTTCCAGGTTTTGAATCACGGACGAGAAAAGAGGTTTGATAAAAACGATCTACAAATGCCCTATAATGAAGAGTTTGAGGAAATGCCACAAGGTGCACAGGATCAACCACGGCGCACTCTATTGCCCACTCCAGGTACACCAGGAGGACAGACAGCTAATACTAGTATTCCATCATTATTTGATATACATGTTGCTCCTACAGGTCATCAAGGGCAGAAAATATTAGCAAAAGAAACTCAAAAGTAAGGACTGTTCAGTATTTCAGCTCAGATACAGATTTTGGACATGTAATATTGGAAATATTTTATTCAATAAGCTCAACATCTCTGCTTCAGGTTTTACCAATTCATACGACTTCAAGAGAAGAGGGTATTGTGACATGATTGTTTGTTCTTAATTGTTAATCTGTCTCTGTTCAAATGCAGTCTGAGATAGGGAACCGGGCATATTGTTTTAACCTTTTCACCACCAGTCTTCCTTGCTAAAATTTATCTGCACTTATTTCTTGTATTCTTCAATATTTCTGGAAATGAACCCTAAGTTTGGAGCCAACAGACAAAAAGTTTTTACTTCTTCTGAGAGTATAACAGGACTATTTTGTGAATTTGTGATGAAAAGAAGGAACTGGTTGTGAAAAGGTTAATGCTGTTTTCCAGCTATATTTCTGACATGCCCAGAGACCGCTCATGTTTAAATTTTATAATTATATTTCTTAAACTTGATAATTCACAGTGACTATGTGATGCAAATGTGTGTATACAGCTATATTATTGTCAACTTAGACTAATTTGATTGACTGGATGCTATATTTGTTCCAAAAACACCAAATATAAAATTTCAACACATCATAATTCGTTTTCCATGCCTGGATGTATTCATTCAAACTTGGTATTGACGTCATTAATGGTTTGTTTTGTTGTTTAATTCAATGTGGCTGTTCGATATTATATTTATGTTTTTATCATTTCTCAAACATGCCTTACAGATTTTGTTCAAAGTAAGTGCAAAGATGACATAAATGTTGTGGTCTCAAATGTTGATTCTGCCAAATATCCACATGGATTATTGAGTTGAGTTGTTTATGGTTTATATATATATCAGGTTTCAGTTTTACAACGCAGAAGAATCACCTGAAGTGGAAGGGAGTGTTTCCGAATCTGATAGTCAAAGAATGATGGAAGACGATCAACCTCCTTCACAGTCTGCTTTACCGGTGCGAGGAATGACAACAACCAGTCCTATGAAAACACCTTCTACATTCTATGACAACTTTTACCCTAGTCAACCAGGTTAGTATTTTGTCTATGGCACATGTATAAATTCTCAGGTTGGCTTCCAAAATTTTCATTGTAAGCTTACACTAGAATTTTTAGATGGAAACAAATTTCATTCATTGGGATTATTGGCTCCTGTTTGAACAAAGTCCGAAAACATGGACTTGTGATTTTACCCCTGTGTGTATATTTCCACCTGTATCTTTGACATGCTTAAACTGATTACATTCAAAGTTCACAAATATATCATACTTACTAAGATTACTTGCACACGTTCATTCAGTTTGGGATCTGATTCCAGATGGCTGAATAACGGCTATTTCTGTGCTAAAAAATGATCATCAAAGTCATTTTTGTGATACTGCGACTGGATACCCAGTCATGTATGTCATTATGGAACTTGCATGTTCCTTTGGATTGGATTCAAAATGGCCGTTTTGTTTTAGTGAAGTTCTGAAACCATGTTTAGATTTAGATTTATACGCTTTAGTATGACATAGTATGGCCCTGGTCAGTGAGGGTTTTAAGAAATTGCTGTAAGGCAAAAGACTTGACATGTACTTACCAGTACTCAGCAGACAAAAGTATTGTGGAACTAATGGCGCTCTACTTGGGTTTATTTTAGATTCTGTTGGTGACAGTGACAATCAGCAAGGTCCAAAAATAGAAGATGAAAACAGAGACAGTGATTCAGCTACCAGTAGTGTAGCTGCTGTTGGTAGTGATGGTGAAATAAGGAGAGCCAATATACAACCACCTAAAGTTCCAATGTTTCTAGCACCCAAACAAAGAGAACTGTTCATGAGAATTCAACAAAAACAACAGGAGGATGAGTTAACAACATCTGAAGAACAGAAACAAGATGAGAAAGATGCAGGTAAGACCGTATATTTATTATTCGCAGTAACATGATAAGTTGACTCAGGAATGCATAAAACATACCAGGGAGCATTCAGAACTAATTTATTGTTTATTATGCTGAGCTGCTTCTACTAAGCTATTTGCTACATACCAATACATACAGATGATGTGACACCATAAAAATTATGTATTATATCATCCAGAAATGAAGTCACCAAATCATCTGCTGCATGTCTTCTTTCAAGGATACTCAGATATTTAAAAATCTCTAATTTAATATCTTATCTTTGTATGTTTTAGCTGGGGATGACGATGATTGGTACTCGAGTGATGATGAAGATGGTGCTATGCCTTTGTCTCTCCCAGCTGGGGCATCTAGTAATAGCCAACCACTAGCAGCAGTTCTTCATACAATCAGACAACAAGTCTCACAGTCGCAAGCGAACACAGCTGCTACTGCTCAAGCTAATGCCCAAATGAATATTATAGATCAACTTTTACTGAGTGCTAGAGGTAGTGGACAAGATGCAACTCAGCCGAAGATTGATCCAACAACAAGAACACTGCACGCAGACCCTAGAGTACAGAAACAAATTACTGAGGAACCTCCTCCATTGGTTCAAACTGAAAAATCTGAACAATTAAGCACAACCAATGATGGAGTAAGAATAACTGAATTGAAATCGCCAACCAACCAACAGCAGACAATTCCATTAGATCCTGTTACTAAGACAATGCCCAGTGTCAGTGACACCCATAGGCTTCCACATGAAGATCCTAGACTGCACAAGCAGCCAAAAGATTTCCAGAATCCTGATTTACAGTTACTGCATTGGAAGGATATTGAAGAGAGTTTTGAAGTTGAAAAATTTAAAGCCAATGCTCCCAAACCACCACCCACGAAAAGACCTAGTGATCCCAGGCGAAGAAGACAATCTGATCGGCCTGCTGACCCGAGAAAGGCTGCCATTCCCCAACTACTTCCTTTGAATCCAAGTACTTCAACTCCATCACTAGGACCACAATCATCTTTTGATCCAAGGAATTCAGCACCACCACCACTAGGACCGCAGTCATCTTTTGATCCAAGGAATTCAGCACCACCACCACTAGGGCCGCAGTCATCTTTTGATCCAAGGAATTCAGCACCACCACCACTAGGGCCGCAGTCATCTCTTGATCCAAGGAATTCAGCACTGCCACCCCTAGGGCCACAATCATCTTTTGATCCAAGGAATTCAGCACCACCACCTCTAAGGCCGCAGTCATCTTTTGATCCAAGGATTTCAGCACCACCACCTTTAGGGTCGCAGTCATCTTTTGATCCAAGGATTTCAGCACCACCACCTTTAGGGTCGCAGTCATCTTTTGATCCAAGGAATTTGCCACCACCTCTAAGACCACAATCATCTTTTGATCCAAGGAATTCTGCACCACCACCACTTATGCCACAGTCATCATTTGATCCAAGGACTTTGCCACCACAACTAAGACCATCTTTTGATCCAAGGAATTCAGGACCGCCACTTATGCCTACATCCTCTTTCGATCCGAGGAATTCAGCACCACCACTGAAGGCGGATTCTTCTTTATTCCATACTGCACCACCTCCAGTTGGCCAGTCATCTTTCGGTCCAAGGAATTCCACACCGCCACTAAGACCACAATTATCTTTTGATCCAAGAAATTCAGCACCGCCACTTATGTCAACAACATCTTTTGATCCAAGACAATCTGCACCACCACAATTGGCTCAGGGTCAGTCACCTTTTGACCCAAGACATTCTGCATCACCACCAAGGAGCCATACATTAACAGGAAGCTTTCAAGGGGAACGGTCTGTGGATCCAAGATTAGCACGGAGTATCAGTCAGGATTCTAAAATTGCCACACAAAATATTTTGGTAGAAGAACCTAATGCAAGCTCAGGTGTTAGTTACACTCCTGTGAACTTGACTCAAGATCCTAGGATACAGAGATCTATTTCAGAACCCAGTAACAGAACAGGTCAACAAAACACACAAGTGCAGCCCAATCCAAAAGCACAAAAACCTGGGGGAAGACTTTCAAATTATTCAATCCCAAAACTGCCAAAGGGTGAGCGTAAAACACAACCTCCAGAGGCAAACACACGCCTTAGGACAGATTCTAAATCACAAATAATAAACGAGTCACAATCACCAAAAAATTTTCCAGACATTGGTGATCAGTCTGACAATAGTCAAGGACTGCAGACAAATGCTTTGATTAGTCATCCTGTTCGTGCTTATCACAGACTACCACAGGTAAGCTCATTTACACAAGGTTCAAAGATAAGGCCGAAAAGTCGACATCAGCAAGGTCAAGTGTTGAACCAAGATCCTAGAAATAGAAATCCAGCTGGAAATCCTAATCAGCAACATTTTCAAGATTCACAAAATAAGAATCAATTTGATCGTGGTGAAGGAAGCCCTAGCCAACCACAGTTTCCAAATCAAAGAAATAGAAATCAATTTGATCATGGTGGAGGAAGCCCTGGCCAGCAGCAGTTTCAAGGTACCCAAAGTCTGAATCCTGTTAATCGTAGAGGGGCTAGCCAATCATCGATTACCAACCAAGATCCACGGAAGAGGTTTGTAGCAGGTAATCAACAATTACAACAAAATACTAACAGTCCAACTGAAACAAATGATCCTTCTGATCCTGATGCAACATTAAAGGATGTTTTCAAAACTATTGATCCAACTGCTTCCCCATTCTGTTAAAAATAACATTCTCCAACACTTGAAGTTTGTTGGACAGTGAACGAATAACTGCCATTAGCAACTCAATACATACTTCATGAAAGTGAGATTGATATTATACATGTGTGGTATATCATCATTGATGGTCAAAGCCTGTAATAGTTATTTTAATTGGTACATTGTATTAATATTATTGTAAGTTAATTTTGTGATTACATTAGAGCTGTGTACATAGCTATTTATTATATTACTTTAGGCTTTATATATATATGTTCAATGTACAATGTATTACATATTTAAATTATTATATTTTGAATACCTTTATGTATGCTTGAATATTTCCGTCCCCTTAACAGCTCTATATTCTGATTTGGGGGAAATCCGCTCACTCAACACACTGTACATCAGTATATGAATCCAGAGTGGCTAGACCCTGAGAAACTATTTCAATTGTAGGTTTATCACAGTTTATTCTACATGTTGGCCTTAATTTTGATATTGTGTTCCCAATGTGGTCAATTAATTTAACTATAATGCACAATGTGCGTACAGGATATGAAAGAGAATTCTGAATGATCGGCTGAAATCTTTGATTCTAAATCATTTTGTTTCAAAATTCCTAAATATTGAATTTGTAAAATTCATAGAAAAAGTCTAGATGTTAGACTCTGTAAGGTTGTGGGCTAATCAGAAATACAAATAGATTTTTGCTGTGGTGATACTATATACAATGAACTTTGTTCTCTGCAACTATTACAACTAAGTTTGTGATGCAGAAATTTCTAAACTCATTAAAATGTATATTTTGTATATTTCTATATGTGCTTATTAACCATAATGTTTTTTTAATTTCAAAATATACTGTTCCCACATTGTCAGTTAGTGCTGAATTTGTGCAGAGGTTATAGATATTTCTATAGCTGTTCAAACAAAAATGTCTTGAATGTCAATACACTTTACTTTGCAAACCTACAAATGTGATTGTGAGATTAGCAGCATTGTATATTTATTATTGACTTAGAAACAGAACATTCCAACCACTCTAGTCATAATTTTAGTTTATATATCAGTTCAGATGATGTCATATATCAGCTGAATTAGAGTTGACATTCATATTGTAAAATGTGTTGGGGCAACACAAAATCAATGTTTTTGTGAAATCAGTGACAACTTCTACCAGACATTATAGTTTTTAGAAGTGCATTTGTTTAAATCAATATTATTGACCACAAGGGACATAAATTCACAGGATTCTGAGACATCTGGCTTTTTAATACCTGATTTGGTCAGCTGTGTCCAACATACTTTGCTTGCAAACCTGCTAACAAAATTTACTCAAAATTAATGTAAATATTCTAACATATATTGTGTGCATGTGTGTGTGTTTTGTGCCTGTATTTTCTGTTGTATATAAGTATTTTAGGCTGAACAATAAATACATGTGCCAATTTACTATATTTGCTGTTATGTTTATTTGCCAAATGATAGGTTGTGATATAGTTGATTCTACATAAACCTCTGAAGTTTTAAAAACTCTTGTACATACTATTTCAATATCCCCATAATAAACATAAGGTTGATATCAGAAATATCTAACTTTGATTTGGTTGCCAAATTGACCACTACAGGGTTAAATAAAAGTTAAATTGTAAGTGCATCCTTACTATGGTGCATCAACAATGCATAATTTCAGGGGGCGACTGCTCAAGATTATCAAGAATCTCTGCCTGTTTGACTTGTGAAGCATACATATTGCCAGCATCATTGTCAATTCACCTTCAGAGAGTTTTACTTTTTTTGGACATGTTGTCAGCTAAAAAAAATGTACTGTGACCTCCTACTGTAGTTCCTGTGTTATACTATGTCTTTTTCTGGAACTGATATCCCAGCTGGTCTCTGGATTTATCGTGCAATGATAATTGGGCCTGTTAGTACCAGTCAGTATTTAACAAATTGCTGCCAGCATCTCTGTGTTGGGGGTTTATGCTTGCACCACCAAAGGATAGCATACATCTTCTATGCTACAATGGTAAGTGCATCTGTTATGTTGTATGCTTGTGCTGAATAGGGCAATCCACATGCCCACCTCTACATAGTACTGATAAGAAACATTTGCCAAGCTCTCGCATTGAGGTGGGGGATCTGAACTAATTAGATTCTGATCTAGTTTATTCACCATGTTGTATGCTTCCTTCACTGCAAGATGCCCCATCTAAGCAGAATAACATTTCAGAATTCTAAATTCCTGATATGTTTTCTGTTGACTTCTTAATTTTGGCACATGCTCCAACTTGTATTGTGAGAATGAATCATGTCAGGACACTTGTTGATTTTCTCTTCTAGGGTACTTGGCTCCGACCCCAACCCCCAATTGCAAATGTTCCATTTTTAGCTCCACTGTTGACTTTATCAAGCAGAGCTTATATGAGTGATTGTCTGCGTTCGTGTCCGTGTTTACTTTTTTGACTCCTTCTTGAAAACTACAATTCTTATTGCTTTGATATTGGAGTACCTTGGGCAGACCATTCTTAGATTTGTTCATTTCATGGGGATATCTTTAAGTTTCTAATTTTGGTGAATATTTTTGGTAAAAAGTGATATTTTCGACTTCTTGCTGTAAACCTCAAGAACGATTGCTTTGATATTATATACTAGTATATGGGTACTACATGTGGACCTCGGTCAGATTTGTTTATTCTGTGATATATTTTTGGTAAAAAGTGATATTTTGACTTCTATTTGGAAACAGCAACTCTGATTGCTTTTATATTATACATATAGGTACTACAGGTAAACCTCTCTCAGATTTGTTCATTTTGTGATATCTAATTTTGATGAATATTTTTTGTTAAAAAGTGATATTTTCAATTTCAATTGCTTTGATACTATACATATAGGTACTACGTACTAAACATATTGTTTATTTTCTAATAACTTCAGTTCTTTAATTGAAATGTGTATTGCTAACAACGGGGCTATCTCAGCTTGTTGTAATATCCTGTATTGTTTTCATCCATGTTTAGTGGTGGCTTAGTTATTACCGACTATCTGAAACGTACTCTCGCAATCAGAGATGGGACCATTTCTGTTGAGACTGACATGTAATAACTGTTTTATCTGTGGTTCTTTCTGGAAATTCTACCTACAAACTAACAATTCTAGCTAATCACAAAACTAGATATATCACTGGATTTCTCAAATGCTCAACCAAGAAGTTGTCTAAACATTACCATCCATTCAGAAATAGTGTGATGTCGTCGTATGTTCTAGAAGTTGTGTAAATGAAATATGAATATTACAAATTGTGAACCTCGCGCTAAACTGTTATGCATTAAGAACATAAAAATTGTAGTTATCTTTTGTCAAACAATGGAAGAGTGCTCTTATCAAGTAGGAAGTTTAACACTGACAGTCGGCTATACAAAACATTTGCCCGTTTATATAAACAATTGCGGTCAACCGGTTTGTCTTTTCAGAGTGTTTATAGTTATGGCTTTAGCAATGCATGAGAACAAGTGTACATCTGCAAGAAAGTAAAATATTCGATAGGCAAAACGCCATTACTACATGGGATCGTCTGCCACTGGACCCTTTTTTGATATGAAACGAGGTCACTGCACTTCTAGAATAATGGGCCATCCATCCAATATCAAGAGATGTGTTGAGGCCTTCATTAGAGTTGTCATATCTAAATCAAGGCTCGCTTCAAATAATCACACCAGGTTTAGGGAACAGTGTGTGCAACCAGATGACTTGCTGTCTTCTCTAGATCTGAATAAATCAATCTAGCATTTTTCCAGTTTGCTTGAACATCGTCTGTCACTGTTTACAGCTATGCCAACAAAAGTAAAAAGACAGAAACACTATTCCACTTAAACGGATGTCATGCTGAAGAGAAGAGATGAATGTCGGGTGATATATTCCGCTGTGATTTTGCACTAAACAGGTTAGGAGGAAGCCTTCACTCACTCAATCAAGTGATGAATGGTGATTTTGAGTTGCAACAAGACCAGCGGTAGTCCTATCTAAATAAGGAGGGGTTCCTGAAATGACAACGTGGCGATGTTACACCCAATACCGATGTAGTGTCGAAAATACATCTACTGATTGTTATTATGTGCTGTTCAGTCTTTGGGTGGAACTGTTGATACATCTATTTGTGATCCATTAGAACTTTTACTTAAATTTACATTTGCAGTTCTCATTTGTATTACCTTCTTTTTGATTAAATCTGTATACTAATTATTAGATTCTTTTCATTCCATCATACTAAATAGTATCTGTCCTCTCCTGATAATTAACACTCAGTTTTTTTATACCTGTTTCAATTAAAAGGAATTGTGTAACCTGTTAATACTTATGCCAGTGGATTTGCTTTCTCGTAACAACACACTTACTATGCTCGACAATATTTTACATTAAGCAAAACGACATGTATCATGCCTGTGTCTGTGTGGCCACATTAGTTACGTATATGACTCTGAGGCCGTTTTAGTCAAATGGTCAACATGGATACATGCTACCTCACATCTATTTGAAAAGCATTATTAATAAATGCATATTTTTAAACGTATGTAACTTCACTTCAATGGTGTGACTGATCGACCAGATCACAACAGGTGCCAGAAGTTCCCCCAAATGCAGCGCCCTCTACAATATCAACATGGATTTGAATAGCTTGGCTACAAGTATGCAGTACGCAGTTATGCGAGGTGAACACTCAAATCACTTCACCATTGATAACGTTGACATAAAAGTTTCTTTCTATTTGGCTTCATACGTATTAACAATTGGTAACCGTTTATTATTACACGTATACATGTTTTGAATTCAGGCATTGCGTCAATATTCAAGTATGTGAATTACGTGTCAGTTTGAGGTAATTTGTAGAATCTTAGATGTATATTCTCATATCTCATAACACAACCCTGAAACATAACGATGGTGGAATTAGTGGTAGTAGCAGTGATGTTAAAGGGCGGCAGTCGTCGCGCCGCGTCCTGTTTGATATGGGACTCATAGCGACGTATACAACGCGTGTAAAATAGATTGTTTATTTACATGAAATTCGAACACGTGCTGCGCGACGACCACCGCGCTTTAATGAACTGATGATGCTGTCTTGCTGACTATTTGGAAACTGATCAGTCTCAAATAACACCAAGTTAATTCTTCTGAAGTTTCTGGTGTTTGAAATTATAAGATACGGTCCATAATGCCGCACTTTGCAAAGAAGATAAAAATGATCATCTGTTTTGAAACATGCTAATACTGATGGTCTCACAGAGACATTAGGATAGAGAACTAAATGATTTTCGAATAAATCCGGGAGAACAGTAAGCGCCGACTGTTTTTTGAAGTCATGAAATGAACACTCGAATACTTTCGGCATGATGCAAAGACTGGAGGTTTTCAGAGACAGGGTATAATGTTTTCGCTAAAATTATAGGAAGACAAAATACATTTAAGAGGATCGAATAACATCTGCACAGGGTCTGGGTTGACAGGGTTGTCACTATGCAAATGAGTTATCTGTAAGACCGAGTGTCAGTAATGGCAGTGGTTAGTTCAAAATAAATATACACGACCCTCTTCTTCTCACAAAATTGTGACCAACCTAACCTTGCAATAGAATGGGTTCATCTTCGACAATTTACGTACAGTCTCTAAAATGCCTGATATAAATCGCTGTAATAATAAATTTAGGCACAAACAGTGCAGAACTGCGTCTTGACGCACACGCAATTACATAACATATTTATGCAGCAATGTACATGTCAGACAATAACTAAACATAAGCAACCCACAAATCATAGTTTTCCTATAGGCGTAATCCATGCCTATCAATTACCATTTGCACTTTACCTCTTATCTTGTCAGTCCCATGTACTTTTAAATTAACTTAACTACACAAGGGTTAAAGTCCCGAGGCAGCTTTCTTATAGGAGTAACCCCTATCTATCCTAATCAATTTTCATGTTATGTTGTACACAGCTCCCATAGCTTTTCTATGTGGAGAGTAAACCCCTGTGACGTGGCTGTTTTAATTTACGATTGACAGTCGTGTAGTAGCTATATGGTGAAATCACCTAAATAAACCACGCAGTTGCTCTGGCGATTAATGTCGTAAACTTAGAGCTGTGTTACAAGGAATCAATTGTTGCTAAGCAACAGAGTGTAAAGGAGAATCATGACGTTCGTCCTACTCATTGGACAGCCCGAGCTGCTATCACGAACAAGCCGAGTGATGCAAGTCAATATTAACATAGACAATCACACAATGTGCATTTCTGAAGATGTATATATTTTAATACTGAATATACAATACATAATTACTGAGTTACAGAATTTCAAACATATGGTATCAATGGATACATTCGGACACAATTGTGTGCATTGCGTCACGCCCGTGTGGTCATGCCATTTTTGTCACTCGTATCCAGGGTCGACCACACGTAACAGTCAGGGATCGGACGTTTCCGTGACCTTTATCTGCATTTGGCCAATTGTAATATCTTATCATGAACAAAATGACGAATCAAGACAAATATTGGAAGGAAGTTGAGCTTAGTCGTGATATCTCTAAGGGCATTCACATGAATATGTACATTATAGGTTACGTCATATTGTATGACTGTATGTACAAGAAACGTACAAATATTTCAAAATAACAGGAAGTAAAATATTGCCAACGTCAGGGTTAATATAATTATTCCATTATACCATCAACAAAAAAATGCACTGCCTAAATAACACACACATAATTCCAGCCGTTTTTAAGGTTGAGAAAATATAATTTGCAGTATCTACGAGATGATAAATCCCCTCTAAAACAACGTAACAAGTAGGACATCACTGAAGTATATAGAACGTCCCAAACACGAATCCACATTGATACTACCAAAAACTGTTTTCGCCAAAATTACATCCATAAATCCACGGCTTGGTTACTGTAAAATACTTTATATTAGCTGGAATTAATTTTCACTGTACCATCTCTTCGGCGAAAATGAAGTCTAAGTGGAAATAAAAGTATTTTACTGTATTCTGGTACATAATTCCATAGGACAATCTGAAATACATGAATGGTATTCGCTGCAAGCATTTGTTTCAAAATAAAGGGATGACATCTAAATATATGTACGTATATGTGAAAGCCCATAAACACGTCTGTGAATAGCTAATTGTGACATTTTATTATCTATGTTCTATTTACAACATTTTTTGAAGACAGTTTACAATTGTTAGCCTAGCATATTTAACATATCTGTAACAATACAACCAGAGTTGGTCCCCGTGACAAGTAGTGTACTCTGTTTCGAGACCCATCAGGACATGGAGCTAGAACACGGTGAACAGTTCACAAGTGAAATTTAGCTTCATAATGTCCGTCACTAGGTCGCTTGTTGTTAGCTGTACGTAGTTTTTCACAAACAAATACGTGTCCCACTCCAATCAGTTCTTCTTTGTATACCTTCGCTTGGGAGCCGGAGAGCGTGTGTCAATGGAGCGCATAGCAACTTTTTTTCTCATTATAATGTCATTAACCTAATAAAAACGATGGTTAGCAAAGAAAGTGAATTGTCATAATTAAGTGATGTACGATTGCCAAAGATATAGCGTCTTTATTCTCTTTTCTTCAAGGCTTGTTTAATGGAATACGTACCCTTGCCAAAGTATGTATGGTAGAAAAAGTTAGCGAAGAGAATAAAATAACTGAGGTACATGAGACCGCCGTAGGTAAGGTTAAAGTCGCTCACGTCGCATCCGTAACCCTTGGTTTTCATCGCGTAAGCGTAGATGAGAACGCCGCAACCAACCACCATTTGGGTAATCTGCAAGCTGGTGATCACGATATTCACCTTAAGTGGAACGCGGTATCCTGTTGCCCTGATTGCATAATACAAGTACATAAAAGCATGGACTGTGAAATTCATGGTTAAAAACCAGTACGCTGGAGCGGCATACTCACTGTGACACAGGCAACAGTACACGAGCACGGTAGCGTGGTGATACCAGTGTAAGAATATTAACTTCTGTTTTCGCAGTACAATGAAGAAAGTGTCTATCAGTTCCGGATATTTGGAAAGTACGAACAGCACACCCCAGAATGAAATAGCGGATCCTGCCGATGGAGTGAAATACTTGGAATCACACACGGATGCATAAAACCCATCTTCCTTGATAATGATGAACAGATCCAGACTGGTGCGGACAGATCCCCACATACTAAAGATGGCCAATACAAGATTCCAGGCGACAAGTGGGCCACGGAGGTGAAATTTAGGTCGATCTCTCATATAACGTTGAATGCTGAATATTAGTATAATGTAGACTACACTGGTATAGATTGAATAATGCCAATAATGTTTCATGTGGATATGCCAGCTAGGGGTATCCACGAGGTTCCTCTCAAAATCGTACTGACGTCTGAAGACACCTCCATTATGAGTGAGTTTACTTAATAGTAGTGCTTCATTAGCATATTCTCCTGCAGTCACCATGGCTATTGTAATGTTCACAAGTAACGTTTTTTTCTTGCAATAGAATCGAAACAGAAATATAAAGACGTGTCGGTTGTCTCTTAGCTGTGGTATAGACTGGCTAGTCAGTGGCGCGGAGTTTGGGTCGTCTAATATTAACTGGGTGCTGATAGCAGCGTGTACCGGCACCTGTTAATGAGTGACCACAACCTCGTGTTCTGACGTGTCCAACTATTGCACGTTGTGCTGCGGATTCAAAAAGGCGTCGCTTTCAAATGTAAATTATCTGTATTTGCATATGAGTAGTCTCGGCAAGTGGTCCGACGTCGTCATGACAGTCATACCAACAAATTAAATGCTTTGTCAAAACACTGCAGAACAAACAAACGCAGGGCGTGCCATTGATAACCAGCGTTGATAATACTATAATAAAAATGTACAGTACTTCTCACGGTACACTGGGGACAGCTGTACACTGGGGACAGCTCGGGTGGCGGGATGTGGTCAAGGGAAACATTTCTATTTTAACGGCCAAACTTCAAAATAGGGTTTCTTTTAAATTTTATTAGCAACGTCATTCGATTCAAACAGAGAATACAGAGTATAACAAAACTTAATGAGATGAGGTCAGTTATCAATCTGAACTCGTTCACAACATATATTATTAATTCAGTATTATGTAAATATTTGCATATTTTTATAAATTAAATATATTACCAGTATATTAGTACTTTAGTATTTTGTTAACGTTGTGTTAGATTAGCTGTATTCGATAATTGTGGATATTAATTTAGCATTATATTAGTTTATTATCACACCAATTATACAGTTATGTACCGGATTTAGATTCTTAAATTTGTCTATCCTTGTACACATATATCCCACAATGCAATTCGGCAATGACATCATTGTGAAGGTGTGCACTCCTTCATATACAACATTTAGCCTTGCTAAATATATATCACATATTTCCCGGCTTATATTATTTAAATTGAAAAATGGACATAATTATATTTAATTATATCAGTTTATCATCACACAAATTACTGTATACAGCACCAAATTTAGATTCTTAAATCCTTGTACACATATATCCCTTAATGCAATTCAGCAATGTAGAAGTCCATAATTCTTCATGGAGATACTGCATTTTATATATCAGGCATTTCCAGGTTTATATTATTTAGGGAATAAAGACACAATAAACTACGGCCAGGGCGGGTATACTACTCGATTTTGCACAATTCACGACATATAAACAAGAGCACCAGTGATGCACTGTACTTGCACATAGTAAAACAAAAATGGCCCTGGAACTGGTATACTACTATTATAGATAAAACGAGCAGTGGAGCAAATTCGCGCACGCATCTCGGCGTTGTGAGGTTTATTCGAGTAGTTCCTAGCTAGTAGTAAATTCCAATCTACATAATCTAAAAGAATATATTTTTGCCGCACACTCGATTACGTTTTGAGGATCGACAACATGTCTGGGATCGAACCGCTCCAGATGACAATAAAGGGTAAAATGTTAGAAATCGTGGGGGGTGACCAATGTAATTTTTGTTCGCGGTGTCTTGTCTGAAAATTCTTTTTATATTTCTTGAATGTGCCAAAACACTTTGTATACATTTTTCTCTCAGTGTCAAGCTTGTAAAAGTTCTATAAACAAATCTTTCCCGTCGTTTACAAGCAAACGACATGCAAAAACATGCAAATATTTAAATTTGCAGATGACATTGAAAAGCATTTATAGCGGGTTTGTCGTTTCAACGATTTATTAATGTGGGGGGGGGGGGTCTGGGTTTAAGGTATATTGCTTTTCTCACCATTATTTCGTATTATAATACAGAAACACAAGAGTGGGAAGTGATTAAATAAACTTTCAGAATTTGTAGATGTCCTAACAGATTGCTCAAATAGATTAAAGCGAGAGGTTCGTCACCCGCGCATGCACAAAAAAACGCAAAGGCTCGTGGGTAGACGCTTGTTTGTAAACAATGACACGCTATGGCCATCTGACGCATGCGTAGGTGACGACTCCGCCGCTTTAAACTTTGGTACACGCATACTGTTTTTGCAGTTGGATGTCCAAAACTACTTTGTAATTAATCTGCATTAACTAAGCATGTTTGATATTTTTAAACTAGTTAGAGCACTTTCTAGCTTCTTTAGTATACCCCCTCCTTCCCCTCCCCCGTTTTCCTTTTCGAGCGTTGGTTTGAGAAGATCTTTTTATGCTAATAGGGGATAATATATACTACTCATCATACTTTCGAAATTGTGATTGGTCCACTGGCTCGGTAGCCATATTGGATTGAAATTTAACCACAAGTGGCTTTTTGACCACCTTCTAAGGTTCAAGGTGAACTGATTTTTTTATAGCACATAATACTACTCGTGTGCAATAGATATCAGCAATAACAAACTTTAGCGGTCAGTCATGTGACTCTCATGTCATGGATTTTCTCGGAAAAATGGTAAAAAATGCTTGAAAATATTTCTTATCAGACACATCGAACACATTGGTCTGATATTTGTCTTTAACATCTATATGTGATTTTGAAATTTGCCACGTTCTATCTTCTAATGGAAATCACAAATATAAGGTTTGACCTGGGCACGACTTGCAATAATTACCGCTGGTGACTCCTTTGATACCTTTCAATCACCTAAAAATATCTAATTAAAGCTTGGTAATGTCCCAGTTTGTTCTCGTTGATCTGCGCAACATTCAAAGTCGCCATCTTTGTTTATATAACACTCATATATCCAGTGCACGGCGCGACGACTACAGAAAAGTGTATATTTTGACCACAGAATAAACTTCATCGTTCAAGTGATTTAAGAAAGAACATTCCCTCACAGCAGATACATTCACAAGTAATACCGGTACTCACGTTTTCCTAAAACGAGTATGAAACACTAATTTTGAATCAAATAATGAAAATAACTTATGTGCATCAGTTATGCTCAGCGCATCCGAGAAACAGGTCGGCTATTTAGAATTGGATTGCTGATTGTTGTTTTTTTGCGCAAAACTGATCATTAGATGGTCAAAGGTCATCGAATAAAAAACAAAGCGATAAATATATGTATCATTCCACTGAGATTTATCTTTGTACCAACTTTGAACAAAATCAGTTCAGACATGTCCGAGAAATGACGTTGGACAAAACCCAAAACTTAAGTCCCTGTTTCAACAGAAATTAAAACAGGGTTTAGAACACATGTTTCTCGTATCATTGAATGAGACATTTTTTATTGATTTTTTTTACATGGTAGGGAGACAGAGTGGATACAACTAACTCCAGACGAACACAAAGGAATTTGCACTGCAGAATCTTACACTTAATTTTGTATTTTTACTTAAAATGTGTCCCAGTCGCAGGTGTTTTGGGCAGACGATAAACATAAATTTGTTTTTCTGACCTAAAAGGGTGGAACAGCATATAAAACGATACCCCTAAAATACTTTTGTAGAGTGCCATCTTGCGACGCACTGGGGGAGATTTGCATCATAGCAATACCTATTTTGACATGTTCTCTTTTAACCCTTCAATAATAATGTCAATGATTCACACTAGCCGTAACATTAGCCAATCACAAATCCATAATTCACACTATCGATAACATTAGCCAATCAGATGCTAGTGAGTCACACTAGCCGTGACATTAGCCAATCACAAGTTCATAATTCACACTATCGATAACACTAGCCAATCACATGCCAATGATTCACGTTAGCCGCGACATTAGCCAATCACAAGTCCATAATTCACACTATCAATAACGTTAGCTTAGCCAATCACAATGATTCACGTTAGCCGTGACATTAGCCAATCACAAATCCATAATTC